ATCTTCAGCCCGCAAAGATTTCACGATTGGGACACATTCTTTTTTCTTTTTGTTTTTAAATATCTTCTTTTGTAGTACACCTCTTTGTCGCGTGTACGTTTGGGCCGGGTGGTCACGAATTATGAAAGCTCATTTCACGCGCGGTCATTATGCCGCGCCAATGGTCGAAATTAGCTTACGGACACGAGTACACGCGCCGACGGTGTCTATTATTTCCGGCTGAATTAGCCGGTTCAAAAGTCGGCGGCGCGGCGGCGGCGGCCCGACGCGGCGACTGGCAATTCCATTTTCCAGCGAGGAAGGGACACACCGCACGTACTGCACTCACGTTTTATTCCGTCGGCGGTTTCGGCGGTGGCGTCGATGATATCAGCGCCGAGACGGCCAATTAAAAACGTATCAGCCGTCCGGGGCGCTTCGAATTTGAGTACCGACCGAATTGAAGAGCCCCCGAAAAATACAGGTTTCAATACGTTGTCTCGCGCAGTCAAATAGAGGCCAATTTTAAATGATACAAAAGTCCCAAATATATGAATATCTGAATCTTGACAATTCTTGTTAAATAAATCACAGTACAAATTATATGTATTTTCTTCTTAAATTATATATATGTAAAAAAATGTTTTTATATTTATATCATGATTAATAATCTCTCAATTTTTAATATAAAATTTAACGACTATTGTTAACACCCCTATACATTTTTTTAAAAAGGGGAGCAGCCTCTCGAGTTTTTAATTTAATTGTATCACGGGCTATTATATCGCACAAAATCTTTCGTAAGACGAGAGATCTTAATAAGAAAAATAATAACAATATATAATAAGGCACACGCGTGCTTCACGCAATGATTGAATTAAGCATATCTCGTTAATGAGACAAATATAAATTATAGGGTCAGCTTACCATAATAATTTGCATTGTCACGTGACGCTTTTGCTCTCCCAATCTAGGGGTCGGCGGCGCTTAATTGGGCTGTCATTATGACGCCTTATGGGACGCGGGACTCGATTTAAATTACGTAAAACGATAACGCAGCGTTAATGATAAAACGACACACGTAATTTATAAATTATTTTCCCCCGCTTCTTTATTCTCTATACAATTTATTGGTAAAACCTACGCACGATTACAAAAAATCGTGAAGTACAAATTCCTTCTTTCAAAAGAGATATAACCCTCGGTAGACATTTGTTTTCAAAGTGTATATCTATCTGAATGTCGAAAACAGAAAAATCGTTACTCGAATAATGATATGGTACTCGTAATTGCCGTTGGTATACCTAAGTATTTTTTTTTATACTTTGCCTTTGATGTGCTAGCTATACGAAATACATTCGACACTCCATTTTAAGTGCCGCAATCTTTTCCCTCCCCTTTTCGCCGTCCTCCTCGGACGGAAGGATCCAATTCCGGGCGAAATGAGAACCGGCGACCGTGAGAGCCACTGGCGCGATCCCGCGGGACCACTGGGAGCAGTGGGAAGCCTCTGTACCCGTGCTGGGGCTATACCGGGCTACGCCGTGGAGAGGGCGCTCCCCAAGGAGGTAATTACCCTCCCTGCCGCCGCCCGACCACCCACAAGCCATCGCAACTTCAACTCCTGCCGGAGTTACATGCTAATACAAAACCAAAACCGGTTCCCAACAGCTTTGCTAGCCGTTCCGTCGAATTCCCAAAATTCATATACATACGCGTGTACTTGTGTGTACATATAATATACGTATGTACGTGTGTATACGCGCGCGTGCACCACAATGACGACAGCACCGGGGGGTGCGCGAGCGCCGTGAAAAATGATGCTGGACGTCGCGGCGGTTGGACAATCGATCTCCCCCAGTATTTACGCGTAATATCTGACCGACACGGCGCGTTTAATGTATGTCGCATATCGTGTAGAAATTGCGGTTACATTTTTTTTTACTGCGAATTAAATTATCGCTCTCCCTTCCCCTCCTCCCCCCCCCCCGCTCCGCTTCGCGCTCCGCGCGAAGTGAGAATCACGTTGAAATACCCACGTTATCCGCGTTAAAAGAATTTTTCGTATTCCGCGCAGTGTCGGTGTATCATAACACGCGCGCATACGCTTCCGCACAACGGGAGTTCGCGATGGGAAAAAAAAACGTAAAAACGCATACGTTTGCTTTAAACATAAAAGCGGCGCGGGATTAATTTTGCATCTAAGGATAATAAAATAATAAATACCTGACGACTAGAAATTAGCGTGTGTGCGGCTAGTTACACCGCGCGCGGTTTTTTTTTTCGCGCGCGCGTTTTCATCCTTTTTCTCGAAAAAGAGAGAGCGACAAAATGATTATTTCTCGCGAAGGAAAATCCCCGTGTATTTTTTTTTCCAATTTCCCTGCGTCCCGTTGAACAGAGTAGAGCGAGAGTCTCGCGGAGAGTTTGTTTTTCCACAAAAAAAAAAAACTTTTATATCCCACCTGAAATTTTTATTTTATATTTCGTGCCGCGCGCGTCGGCGGGCCCCACGTCGTCGGCGCGGCGGCGGCGGCGGCGGCGGCGGCGGTAGCGGCTCGAATTCGTTTTTTAATTGGCAAATTTATTTGTTGCGTACGTCCTGTGCACGCGCGCGCCAAGCGCTCGTCCGTCCGCGCGCGACCAATGATGCAAGAATATTACGATTTTACGTTGTCCGCAACACGCGTCCGTGTCACTCGATAACATTCACGCCGCGCGCGGAATGTCGGACGTAATGGTTCGATTTGTATCGAATGACGGTATCGGATGACGGTGATACGAAACGATTTTGGAGAACGGGAAAGAGAGAGAGAGAGAAAAAGAGAGAGAGAGAGAGAGAGAGAGCGCTCGGGCGCGCGCGGTTTCTCGTTACGCGATTCGCGGCGCGAATTAAATATTCGACGTACAATCTAGGACGCCGCACAAATTCGCGATTGTGTGCCTAGAAGAGTGAATAAAGAGAAGGAGAAAGAGAGAGAGAGGGCGGGAGACTTCCTTTTTTTTCCTCTTTTCCCTTTTTTCTTTTTTTTTTCTGGTTCGCTCAGTGCATTTCGGTAACAACGACGAACTGATTACCAACGCGGCGTCCCAAGCGTGCAGCCTTGGAACTCCCAAAAGTCATACTCGTAAAAAAAAAGGGACTATTGTGCACCGCGGACTTCCGGGTTATTTATACGAGTTATCTCGTCCCCGAAGCGCCGCGAACCGAGCGCGAGCTCGCGCGCGCGCTAGCTCGCGCCGCGCCGCGCCGCGTCGCGCCGTGCATCGTTGCAGCTGCAGTTGTTCGCGCCGTGACTTACGAGCGATGATAATTCCAGCAGCTTGAGTGCCACGCGGCTTTTCGTTTCCACCGCGGTCTTAACGTTTTATTCCGCCCCGCGGTTTCCTCGGATATCGTCTTATCAGTGAGTTATTTTCGCGTTGTAGGAAGCGGCGCACGGAAAGAGGAATTAACTAAGGATTGCGACTCGTGAGTGTCTTTAGGAGATTTAGCTGTTGATCCCGGCGCGATACAACTGTAATTGTGTTTCTCTCGCTGAGAAAAATACGTATGGCTGTTTTTCTCCGCTGTTTATATTTTCTGTAGCTGTTTTTTTTATATTTTTATTCAAATTGTCGAAGAATAATCCTTTCAAAGAAATCCAATTTAATACTGATCAATTTAATATTGCTCAATTTAATACTGGTCAACTTAATACTGACCAATTTAATATTGACCAATTTAATACTCGAAAATAAGTAATTAATCAATATCTTCGAGTATTAAATTTCAGGGAAGGACGGTTTTTTTTGAGACCAAAAAATCCTTTAAAGAAATTTACTGTAGATATATTAAATTAATACTCAAAATAAGTAATTAATTACTAACCAATTTAAAATTTACAGTATTAAATTTTTCTACGGGATGCTCAAATCGTCTATATATCTCGTATTGACTTCGGACAGCTTCTTTGTAAAATTCATTTCAATCTCTCACGATCGCTTTGTGTCGCCCACTCGATATTACAGCGTCTAAATAAAAAATAATCCTCCGACGTATGAAAAGTTCATACGGAAGCCGCGAATGCACGCAAATATTTTATCATCGGTGCGCGCTAATAAAAACGCGCGATAAACCACGTCGACCGGCCTGTGTGGTGTGCCAACCTCGCTAGGGCTGTATCACTGTACCGTCGCGGAGACGCGCGGTGCAATTTTTTTCCGTCGTATCGGATGCGGACGCCGTAAAGTTCGATTATCGATGCGAACCTGGTGGCCGCTTCGGCCGCCGCGGTTGTTTCCCCGCAAGTTGTGCTTAAAGTCGCGCGTATCCCGATGGGAAATTTGAATTTTGGCCGGTCTTCCTCCCATGTACGCGAGTACGTGTGTACGCGTATCCGCGCGCGCGCTCGCGTGGATACGTTGGTCCAAGGCGGTTTCGGGTCTCCTATGCGCAGGAATGGGCTGTGGGAGCCAATATCACCGGGGTATGGCTCCCGCGGGATCACCGCCGCGCCGCTCTTTTCCACCCTTTCCCGTATTATTCGCGTCCGCGCGCGCAAGCGGCATCATCTGCGGCGCAGAGGCATAGGCCGCTGCCATCGCCGCCACCGCCGCCGCCGCCGCTCCGAGCTCGTTCCGCTCGATCGCCCGAAATCCCATGAAATTTCAATGCGGAATCCCTATTAAGAGCCCGGCGGGTTACGGACGCGCGGATCTCGGCGCCAGGCGCTAGACGGGAGACGCTGAGAGAATGATGTAACTGCCCGCGAAGACACCTTCGTCAAATCCGAATCTTAACGCTTAAATGTGAGTTTCCCGAAGATGTGAATCTTCTCGAAACGAGAATGCTGTTTTTATGAAACAAAATTCAAAATTGGCTTTCGAAGCAATTTTTTTCATGTAAATAATTTCGAGAATTTAAATTAATAATTTAAATTATTATCTGCATCTGATAGTCGATCAAATTCAATTCTTGTAAGATGGATATACTTATAATTAATGTTGTGCTAATTGTAACGTGTTTTCTGTTTTGTCAGATTATCTGCAGGATGGCAGGTCAACTTCCGTCCAAGGCCCAGATCTAGAGAATCAGAACAGCCTCGACAGCGGTGAGTCATGTTCACTCGTTAAGTTTCCAGACAGATAGCATGTAATGTGTCATACTTTGACAAGCGGGATCCTTGTAATTTGACACTTACCCTGATTGGAAACTTTCTCATAGTTTTAATTGGCTTTTCGTTTTAAAACGATTGACCGCGTTTGGGGTCGCCTAGATCCGCATAAAGACACTCGGTGATCCGTAGACTCTAATAGGCGTCCTACCATGCGATAAAAAGGGGTCGCTACCCTCTCGCGTTAGAGATTGCTCGTTCTGACTGGCAGAAAATTCGTGATGGATAAAGTCCTCAAACGGCAAACGAGGTAGGTTCCGAGACGGAAGGATTTAAGAAGACTTTTATACGAGAAACTTTGAATTACGGCGTTCGAATGATGTTCTCGAACGGAGGCGGTTTTCGCCTCGTCGACGTCGAAGGGACATAAGTACAGAGTAGAATTGACCTCAGTGGGGGCACCGTCGCTTTTATGCTCGATGGGCCCGGAGAGTCGCCTCGAAACAACTTCGATGCATTTAGGTCGAAGTGTTTTCAGTATATCCAATTCTCTTTGCGAATATTTCAAGCGAGATTGAAAGCCTTCGACGCACAGCGCACGGTTCGACCCATTTTGCAACGATTTGAGGGGTTCAGGGTGAATTAAATTTCCTTTCGAATCACCGTCGGAAATCGTTTATTAGACCGTTTCGTTTCTCGTTCCTCGTTTCTCGCTTTGTGTTGCGCATATAGTGTATTTTTCAATGCAAAACATAAATAAATACCCTAACGCGAAATTCTCGAACGAGAAAGAGAGAGAGAAATCGGGTTTCCCCGCGGCTTAGTGGGCGAATAGACAATGCTCTCATCTACCTTCTCGGCGCGCGCGAGTCACAGATACAATGGCTCCCCATGCATTCGACATATGCTCTCTGTAATTCGATTACCTTGTAACAGCCAAAGCTTTGGGTAAGGGACGGAGGGGATTGAGCCGACTTAAGTTGACTAATCTCTCGCCGGCTCCGTAGCGCGGGTAGACTAGTCCTCGGCAGATAAATCCGTGAGGACCACAGGCGCACGCTGTGCAGGGAAGATCTTTCGCTAAATTCAAAGGCGATCGTCATAGAATAATTTCAGTAATCTTTGTCACTCACCGAGGAAAACGGATTAGGATTTCTCTCTTGCAAAATTTCTCTCATGTAAAATTTACCTAAAAATAAGTTGAAACCTGCAGGAATAAAATTACAATTAATGCAGGAATAACTTTTTATTCCGTTTTTCAGTATTTTGTTTTGCAACCTCTGATAATAGTATGAATTTGTTGACTCAATCGTATGATAACGCGCGATATACTTTGTAGAGTTGCATCGCGAGAAAATTTAATCGTCTTATATATTTTGCATTTTAACGTCATCTTTAGATAATCATTCACCCAAGCCCAAGATTGAAAATCGTTCGATCCGTCAGCGAGAAAATTTCGCGGAAATGCCCGACCATCACTTTGCCGGAAATTCGCGAGACTTCTCGACGTCCGGCTCACCCAACCGCCGGTGCTCCCCGATGACTGGCGCAATAATTGGAGGATTACCGCTTTCCTGATGGTCAACGGAGTTTCCGTTTCGCGAATTCGACATACGCTTATATACGCGGTGATTCGATTAGCACGGACTAACAGAAGGATTGAGCTTGAGATGAGAACTGGTGGCGAGCCGTTGACCGGCCGGCCCTGGGGTTGGCGAAAGGGAGGTCGCCGACGAGGGGTTGGGGTCGGACGGTCGGTCAGCCAGCCTGGCCGACGGCTAGCCAGCTAGCTAACGCACTCCTGGGAAGACGTAAATGTGTCCCTTTAGTGCCAGCTTCCGTTCTGCGATACGTCCACCAAAGGGCTTGGCCGCTTCCTTCCTCTCTTCCTCCCTTCCTCTTTCTCTCTCTCTCTCTCTCTCTCTCTCTCTCTCTCTCTCTCTCTCTCTCTCTCTCTCTCTCTCTCTCTCTCTCTCTCTCTCTCCCTCTCTCTGGTGGCATCGAGTAATGTTTTAGGATCTATTGACGCACCAACGCTCATTTTGCCGCAGGATTCGTGCGATCGTTCGCTTTCTCGGAACTGATTGAAGCGTCGCGGCTCTCAGCGGGAAACTTCATCCGATAAAGCTCGTTGACTGCAAACGTGCCTGTGAAAGGGTCCGCGTACACTGTAAGGATCCACTTACGCACACCTAAAAATTGTGATTTATGCAATTTGTAATCTATATTTGTAATCCTATTTGTATTTTTCTGATTTAACCGATATGATGGCCGGGTTCATTTATTTATAAAAAATTGAGTAACATCATATTTACGTATTTTTAAACCTCCGTTTTTTTTTTCGACGTTTATCGTAGGCAGTAATAAATAATACGTTAGCATGCCACCCAAGACTAACGGCAAATTAGATGTAAGCGCTTAAAAAATAATTCCCGCAAATTGCCGCGGCCGCACATTACTTTTTTTTCCTTTTCATCGCGCTTTCTCCCGCATCAGGAGGAGGGAAGGAGGGAGGATTTAAATCGGGGATAAGTTCGCACGGGACATACAAAGGGAATGTGTAGCAGGCGCGCTGCTGTATGCAGTATGAAAGGACTAGATTTAATGGTGGTTACCAGACGTTGCCGTTTGTACATGTGGCAGTAGTAGTTTGTACTTAGAGATGCGCAAGCCGAGAGCTCGTCGGACGAGCAAACACTTAATTAACCCTTCAAGTTAGCTCTCCAACCTCTTTCTCCCCGTCTCTTTCTCCCTCGGCATCTTCCACTACATCCGAAATGAAAATAGTACTTTACCAAGGACAGTTGAGTTTGGCAAAATTCATTCAGGACGAATCAGGACTACTGTACTCACAGTAGGTATTTTGCTTCAAAAAATGCAAAATAGCATTTAAAAATAAATAATTTATCGACTCTGCAGTTTCTGAAAAGTCGTGAATCGCGCACACAAAAGCTTTTATATATGGTATATGAAATTTATTTACGGAAGAATTCAAAATGGGAGGAGTGCAATTCTTGTATATATAATATACTTGTTGTTTTAATTCAATTTAGTTACCAGAAAAAGAATTGACTTTCATATTAATTTTAACATGTTTATCAATATTTAATGTAATTATAAAATTATGTATTGTAAACATCTCAATCTTGGTATACAGCAACTCGCTAAGGATTAAAAGCGCGATAGAAGAAGTAATAAACCTGCTTCGCAAAGAGGATAATTTTACAAAGTCAAAACTCGCGCGGAATCGTCTTGAATTAAAACGAAGTCGTTTCAACCCTTCGCGACCGCACTTCTGAGGGGCTGCTTATCACGACGAGGAAAGAGAGAGGAAGAGAGAAAGAGAGAGTCACCCAACATCGGTAAGAGGCAGTCGTGGGCAAGTTTGGGCTATCCCGGCGGGCATTCTCGGATTCGCAGAGATCCCAATCTCTTAGGCGGGTCGCATCTCTTTTCGGTTCCAGTCAGTCAGTCACTTGATCCGGCTCATCCCACCTCCCCCTTCTCGCCTACACCCACCTCCGTAACTCTCCCCTCCCCCTCCCCCTGTTCCACCCTCTATACTCTGGAGACCCATTGCAACTTTAAGCGCCTCGCATTACGAGCGTTCGACTCGTTTCTCTCGTTTCGGGCTTTGCCCGAAGGCTATGCCTCCCTTCTTGCCTCTGTGTGCTCTTAATTTAGCCATCTACTATACCCTCGCCGGTCGCCGGCTCGCCACCCCCGCGAGCCACCCACCCGAATTCATTTCAGATGTTTATCTCCAGCGGGAGGAGAATCGGCTCGAAAACGGATTAACCTCGGACGATCGCGCGAGTTTCGTTTGTTGAGATCGAGTATCATAGTCCACGGCGCTTTATCTGTGTGCGCGATATCAGATTATTTCTAAATGAAAAATCTTCCGAGAAATGTTTCGCGGATATATATGTAGTATTGATGAATAACTCATATCTAAAATTTTTACATCAAACTTCTGATGCAGAAATAGATACATTATTTAAGTAGAAAAAGTACAGTTATAGCCGGACATTTCGTCAATAGGAAGAATATTGACAGATATGTACGCGTTTTATTAATGGCAATGATGTCTTTATAATGTATATAATCAACATTACTCAAATTAAGCCGGGTATTATTTTAATAACGGCCGCCGGACAAATAATTGCGATTTTACTTGTTTCGTTAGCCGATCAATTATTGAAAGTCCGAAATGAGATAAATAATTAATAATTCACGAGTAAATGAATTACACAACGAATCGATTAATGGGACTGCATACTTTAAATTGCAATTAGTCAATCGTAATTAATTCGTAATCAGTCAATGGAGCCCTTTTCAATCATGCGGGATTTCGGAACAGATAGGACTCGTGCGTAACGCGCGCAAATGAATATCATAATTTCTCCTGCGTTTTCGCATTGATCGTGGGATTGCGTCGTGCGGCCTGCCTTCGCTGAATCGCCAACGCCAATCCGCGGCTTGTAACAATCTCAGTTGACACGTTGAAAATTTAACCCGCGTCCGTCTTTGGACCCTAAGGAAGCTCCCAGAGTTTCATCATCCATTATTCGGCGAGAGCATAGCCTATCTTCGGCCCGGCATCCTTAAGAAGCCGGAATAAGTGATGAGGAGTTGCAATTTCATTATTCTTGTAATTTAATGATTGTAATAATTAGCGATCGTAATTACGAGGCTCCGATTAAGTTACGTTTGATTAGTTTGAGTGGATTTAACGGACTAACATTTCGCATTAGCAAACCGAAAATGACTTTATCTACAAAACTTAATTAAAATGTTGTGCTACTTTTCAATTTATATAACATTAAATATCTTGACATTTATAACATTATATCTCCCCTTCCCCTTCAAATCGAGATTTTATTGAAGTAAAATTCACCTAGAATTAACTAAATGATTGCTAGCCAAACATAATTATCGAATTTAGAAATTTTTATTATTGCGAGTATTTTAATATTCATTTCTATTAATGTAGATTAAAATTTAACTTACTTTTTACCTGTTTTTAGTTCTAAAAATTAGAAAAGGATAAAGAGAGTGTTGAATTAACCCATATTAATCTGCATTGGTAGAAATGGACATAAATCCTCCGTTGACGGCTTGCCGCCGCTTGAACGCGGTCTCGCACGTGAAAACGTATGGAAATGACAAGCGGCGAAGTCGACGATTCGCGGTGCGCGCCTTGCCGAATCCGCCGGCACGTTACGGCGCACCGCTAATTGACAGCGTCGCAGAATGGAAATTGTGTCAGTCGCGCGCGGGCGCGAACGGATATAATATCGATCGAGGCGCGCATCGCGCGCGCTTGGCGATGATCGCGCCGGTTAATTTCGTCCGCTCGTCGCAGACGGAGATTCGCCGCCTGTCCACCGGGTGTGTGATGCCCGGTGGTCGGTGCGACGGTTAGGTAATTAGCACGGACGGACGTGGACACGGACGGGCACTTTAAATGTCCGCCTCTAGCGGGCAACCGCCGCGTCGGCTTAACTCGCTTATTATTTAATAAACTTCGGAAGTTTCACACGCGTGCGTTCGCGCGCGCATACACATACAGCCGCGCGCCGCGCCGGCGATCGGCGGGATCGGCCAAATCTGAAATACGACCCGGCCAGGTCGTCGCCCCCGACGGCATATAACGTTTAAACGTTTCATTTGAACTTTCGCGACCGTTTTTAACTGCCCCACTCGTGATATTGGCTTTTTATCTATCAAGAAAAATTGTAAACCCTCCGCGAGTTGCGTGATTATAAATGCTGCGGGCATTCGTTGTTAGGGATCAGTCTTGACGGTTGGAATATTTGGGTTAGACGTTGAGAAACACATTTTTAGGAAAAGCATTTATTTTTAGGAAAAGGTTTGAAAGACAGCAATATCGGAAAAAGTATAAAAATTAAATAATGTCTGTCGTTAATTAAAAAATTTAATAGCAATTTCTATGTGCTTTGCATGTTTATAGTCTGCATTTTGCATAACGTGTTTTAAATATTGTGTCCTTGTAAACGTCTTTTCATATTAATTATTATTTCTATGAATTTATAAATATTAATAGTTACCCTTAGACTTCTGAAGCTTTATCGACTGACGGTAGGATCGATTTCTCTTCGCAGTGTAAGACATCACCGCTGCAGCGTTACTTGTCCGACGAACGTGCTTTTGAGAAGTGCAGAGGAAATATTTTATATTTTTTGTTATAGAGAAGAATAATTGCTAAATAACTCTTTTATATTTTTTCAATGAAATTTACGGACCATTTTTTATTATAATTTGATTACAACTTCACGCATTTTTGTTTTACACTACAATATAGATATAGCTTCAATATAAAAAAAACTAATGTCGGCATTCAATATAATAAAATTCAATATAATAAAAAATACTAATGTCGGCATAAAAAATTATCTGAATTAAAATGATAGTTGACATAATAATTAACGAATTGCCAATGTTTCCCATTCGAGCCATTCGTTCATCCTTCGCTGTTCGTGGAGAAAGGGTCATTAGGCACGCTCATTGCACCTCTTAAAGAATTAACACTTGCGCTTCACGCCCTCTTCCTTCCGCTCGGGCCTTCGGTCTTTCATAGCTTCCGCGCTCGGCGCTAATAAAATAATAAATACACGTCGTTGTAAGGGAGATGACGGGAAGGGGAAGGGAAGCGTCAGGAGGATTCGAGAGGGCGGAAAGCGGCGACGCGCATTTTGCACCTGCAAGGTGGAAGACCGACGCCCTCTTCCACTTCGTTTTCTTCTTTTTCTTCTTCTTCTTCTTTCTCTTCTTCCTCTTCCTTCTTGGCGTCTCGTTTTCCTTCCTTTCCCCACCAGGATCGCCTTTTACACCCCCTTACAATGCCTCGGCGTGCATTACATACAACTCGGTTATTTCTCCAGGGAGTTTTCTCACGTGAATGCCGCGAGAGCACGCACATTTGCGCGCCCGCCGACGTCGACGCCAGGTTCCGCGCGTGTATATGCGACCGTATGCGCTCACGCACACCATGATCCCCGGCACCGTGGATCTCTCTCTCTCTCTCTCTCTTTCTCTCGGTGGATCGCCGGGGCGAAAGGGTGCGAGGCGGAAGAGGGAGCCTTGGAGGAATCTCGCGCAGAAATTTCGTTTGCCACCGCGGGATTAGCTTTTGGGAATTATTAATTTTCGAGGGGAACCGCGACGCGCGCGTCCTCGTCAGAAATGCGCGATAAAAAAAGATTAATGAGATAATGCGAACGCACGGGCGGGCGCAAATTGCCTGATATCATCGCGAGTTCGTGTCCCGGTGCTCGAAATGCGCTCGCCAAATTATACGAGCGACGATTCGTGGGAATGTGAGTCGGAAATAACGGATGCTGCGGTGAAGAATCGATCGTTTACAACGTGACAAATATGAATTCGCATTTAAATGAACGGAGAGTTGAACCTATCTATTAAAATCATTGCATTTTTTTCAAAGTCGAAAGTCTGTTAAGATTTATGTAAAGAAATTATATAGAGAATTATATAAGATGTTAATTCTTAACGAAATAAATTAGACCAATGTCTTTATATATTTTTATGTATTTATATATATAATTATATATATGTATATTTTTATGTTTCTTATCCGTATTTTTTGTATAATTTTTCTATCATTTCTGCATCCATCTTCAAAATTAATCTTCCTGCTTCTGACAAAAAAAAAGAAGTCTTACCACTCCTCTTATAATTTCAAAGTCTTCAATTATTCCACTTGATTCCGCCGCCTCATACATATTTTCTGACACCCTGTTTAATCTAAATTCCATTATTCTTCGACACCGATGTATCGATATTCCTCATTCGAATCTCGCAGCAGTGGCATCCCCCGTGTGCCACGGCGTCCATGTTGTCGGGGATGTGTTAGTAGCGACGGTTCCTTACGGAGGAACGGGAATGACAGGGTGGCAGGCGGTGGTTGCAGAACGTTGTGGCGATCCCTCTATCCCCCTCTTTGCTCTCTCCTTCATACAAATACATACACATGCGCGCACACACACACACACACACACACACACACACACGCACGCACGACACCCGCGGGAATTTAGGCGAAAACTTTTGCCGGGCCGCCCGAAGGTGGCGGAATTCTTACGACGGTGGAAAAGTTTGAGCCGGGCAACTCAGCAACGTACTTTACCGCTCGGCGATTTCGCGTTATCGCCCGGCTTCGACGACGCTTATCGTTCCCGTTGCTTCGCCGAGAGAATGCTAGAAACCAGGTGGGTCGAGCGAGCACACGTTGATGCAGTTTACTTGTTCGCTTTAATTTCGAATCAGTAATACGAAGTATACAATGCGATGGAGTGTGACCCCGTTTTTTTTTGTGGCCTTGTTAAAATCGAGAGTATTATTCATACAACATACTTCATGAAATGAAGAGTAGTAATAGTATTAATCCCCGATGATCTTTGAACTTAACGGCATAATTTTCCTTTCTTTTTCAACAAGATGTTCCAACAAAATAATTCTGAATTTTGTAATTTAAGCAAACCAAAGCCGACGCAATAAGAGTATCAAAAAGATGGACGTAATTTGAAAAAATTGGCAAGCATTTCCAAAAAAAATTATCATATCTTTCTAGTAATTATTGTATACATTTGAGAAAAAAATTCCATTAATTTTTACATATATCCGATCGTCTACGATAAGCGATGTCACACAGTGCACGCGCCGAAGGCAAGCGAGGAGGCAACGCTTCGCTCATCGCCTTCAACGCATCGCGGCCCGAATTGGAAAGCGGCACGGAGGCCTAATGAACGGCGGCCGTTTCGGACTCGCATGCCGGGCTGCCGTGCGTGGCGGGACAACGAGCACAGCGCCGTTAAATTAATCCGGGCGAAGCTGAGTGCCCGGTAATCATCATTACCCCAACCCGGGCGCCCGGATTATTATGTTTTCCGCTCGCACTCCGGCCTCCGGGTTTTCGACGATGCTTCCGCTCCGCCGACGCTCGTTTACGTCTTCGACGTGCCCCGCGCGGACGCGCGCGCGGCATGTAGGGCAATCCGTCCACACGCGAAACTGGTCCGTTCGTAAATCACAATCTTGATCTTCTGCGATAGTGATATTTTTGAATTATTTATATAACATATTTCAAGAATTCTTAATAACATCGTATTCGAAGAGACACCTTCGTCAGCGTAACGAATTTAAGCGGAAGATTCCGCCGCGTTGTATAAGATCGAGGAGGTAACCGCGGTTTCCCGCAATGGAACGTATATAGATATTTTTCAAGCGTTAGCGACTCGAACGCGTAATTTTACATTTCTAACTTTCGACAATCAATTTAATCAATCTATTAGATTATCTTTTGAATTAGATATGTAAAAGTGAATAACATAAAATGTTGGGCGTTAGCAACTCGAACGCGTAATTTTGCATTTCTAACTTTCGACAATCAATTTAATCAATCTATCAGATTATCTTTTGAATTAGATATGTAAAAGTGAATAACATAAAATGTTGGGCATACGAAATGTTGGATTATATTTTAATCAGACTTAAATTGTATCGACAAATTATAAGAATTGAAATAAAAATCAGCAATTACTATAACAATAAGCATCTTGCCAAGTGTCACTGGCTAGATCCTCTAATGCCATTAATCATACAAAAATTTATCTTATCCCGAAGAAAATTGCATGGAGAAAATAGAAATATGGCAAAATTTATCGCGTAGTACAATTAATTAAACATAATTATGAATGGAGTTTAAAGGAGGTATTAAAATACGGAGTACAGATCCGTATATAATCGTAAACGACCTCGCACTGACAGTCACTCGCCGGTGCATAAGCCGCGTATATATATCGCGGAAAGCGAAATACAAAACGGAGTTAGGGACAGACGGGCGTACGGACGTACCGCGCACAGGAATGTCCTGTGCGATAAAATCTGCCGACCTGCACCTCCGGCTCCTTGGCCAGAAAAAGGACGCCGCGCGCCGTGCCGCGCCCCTCTCGCGGTCACGGCACGCAGCCGCGCTCTCCTCCTGGTATTGAAACAAATAGATACGCGAGAACGATCGTTCTCCGATCGCGGCGCCGATGGATCGGCAGATTAATGCGAGCGATAAGGAGTTAAATCGGAACACTTAGTTCCGGCGCTACCGCGCCGGCTATAATTAAACGCGCATCCACGGCGCGTCCTCGATGTCCTCGTGAACATGATGAAAACGCGAGTGGTGAACGCAGGAAAACCGGATGTCTTAGCTGGGCAACAGGATTTATAT